TCAAAAACAACCTGAAGGAATGCGGACTCTATTGAGAAGGAAGGGGCGTGGGAAGAAGGTTCAGTTTTTATGATGCGGCGTTGTGGGAACCAGACTCTTTGCTGCCTCGTGGGGACAGCTGCGAGCATGAACAGGACCAGGGAAACGAAAACAGCATGCGGAATCGTTGCATTCTTTAGCACAATCTTCTGTATTAGGGACCTTTTTTTATTGATGTGGGATGTTGAAGTTAGGTCAAGGCGGAACAACCGTTAGTGTGACTAGATCCTCCCGGCATCGTTTGGATGGCGTGATCTCAAATGTGTACAGCTGTTGTGAAGTTGAGGTGCTGGATTCCAGACCTTCGATATGTAGCTTTCTCTCTTTCTTTGGTTAACAAGCCACCACTAGTCTGTTTTTAAGGTTTTTTCCATCAAGAAAACTATATAACTTTACTAAATTTTATTTCTTTATTTGCAAACGAATCTTGTTTTAAAAATAAAAAAACAACAACAAAAAAATATATCACTTAACTATGCACATGTGACCAGATCATGCAGAAAGTATTCCTCTTAGCAGGAACTCTTTGTTTTTAACACTTGGTATGGTCAGGATTTAATATTTCTGCAACTACTTAAAGGATCCTTAGAGCTCTTAGGGCGACAGCTTCGGCTTTTTCTGATGTGTAATTTGTTACCATCCTGCTACCGTAAGGCTTTCTGAGGAACCTGCGGCAGCCGGATGAGCGACTCCTTTAGCTTGTGGTTAGGGGCGAACCTGGTTTTTGCCGATACCCCGACTCGAGATTCATTCTGCCCGGTAAGCGTAAGGCCGGCTTCGCCGGGAACGTGTCCCCGGGCTGCGTCCGTTGGAGAGGTGAAACGCTGAGCTCCGAACTGGGCAGGGAACGCCTGCCGCTGCAGAGCGACTGAATCAGCCACTTCGACTCTTGTGCATTTTTGGTCTAAACCGGTGGGTAATTTTGTAAAGGGTGCACCTTGTTCTGCATTTACCATGGCCTTTCTGTTCAGAGACTCCTAACTGTATTGACGAGCATGCCTTTACTTTGTATATGTGGTGCCAAATTCCCGTTTGCCATCGTTTTTAACTGTAGTAACGTTCATAACCAGTCAGCACATTCCTTTGCCGAACCGTTGCATTGAGACTCTCTTTCCCCGTTTGTCATGTGTACAGTTTCAATCTGTTATAGTTGTTGGCAGTATTAAAAATGGTGAGTAAACAGTTTAGCCTTTCCTCTAGTTTATTCTTAATTCTTTTTCCAGGAGCTTTCCTTCCCCCCCTACATTTGAGCAGGTCCAGGGGAGGGCTACTAAAATGCTCTGAGGGGCTACTAAAATGCTCCGAGGGCTGGAGCCCCTCTGCTCTGGGGCTAGGCTGGGAGAGTTGGGGGTGTTCAGCCTGGAGAAGAGAAGGCTGCGGGCAGAGCTGAGTGCGGCCGGTCATCAAAACTGGGAAGGTTCTATCAAATCCATCAGCTGGTCTCCAAAATATGTACAGTCTCCAAAGCTGCAAAGTGGGACAGCGTACTCCAAGGCGCAATGAGTCACTAGAAGCAATAATGGGAAAAAATGAGGGTGGTGAAACCCTGGCAGGGGTTGCCCCGAGAGGGGTGGAGGCCCCATCCCTGGGAACATTCCAGGCCAGGTTGGCCGGGGCTGTGAGCAACCTGATGTGGTTCAAGGTGTCCCTGCTCCTGCAGGGGGGTTGGGCTGGGTGACCTCTAGGGGTCCCTTCCAACCCAAACCATTCTGTGATTCCATGATTCTACGCTTTGCTGGAGAAGGAAGGTAAGCGCTTTGATGGGAAATGGGTGTAATTAATTACTGGGACGGGAAGGTTCCTTGTGCTTTAGCATCCGTGGCTCTCGCTGCTCTCTGTCGCAGCCGCTTCTGCTGCTCCCAAAGGCTTGGGTTGTGCTGGCGCAGACGGAACCCGGCAGGCGTCCAGCCCCTCATCAGGATTATTGGCAGATGCTTCGTTTACTGCTTATTTATAGCACAAGTCTCGCTGCCTCTTGTAAACCTGATGGGAAAATGAGTGCCCTGGACCGCGATGGAGATGTAACCCCTTTCCGAGAGGCTTGGAAATAAAGAACGAAACATTGCTGGGATGCTTGGGGGGGGGGGGGGGGGAAGTAAAGGGCCACCCCGTAGCGCAGCGCTGCCTGAAGCTGCAGAAAGAGGGGTTGTGGGCTGGAAACTCCTTTCCCGAGCTGCCTTGAGCTCCGACTGCCTGACACTTCCCTCCCAGCCAGCTCTGAGGGTTTCCTACCGCTTCACCCCAGGGCGGGGGACGCCTCGCTTCGCCTTTGAAACAAACTTGTGCAAACCTCCCCGGGAATCGGGCTGCGATGTGGTCTCTCACCCGGGCGGGAGGATGGTGCTTTGCTGGGGAAGCTTTTTTGGTTGGTGGTGGCCGGGTGGCACCTGCAGCTGCGTCCCCAGTGGGGGGACGGGGGTGGCCCCGCTCTGCAGCATGTGGGCCACGGGTTGGTCTTGGTAGGGGATCTGTGCACCAAGTGTGGAATGAATGTAAAAAATGTAAAATATTCCTTGATCCAAGCTCTTGGGTGCAGGAACAGGGTTGGGGAACCATCATAGGACTGTTTGGTTGGAGAAGACCTTTAAGATTGAGTCTAACCGTTTCCCTACCCCTGCCATCCCACCCCCAAACCCTGGCCCTCAGCACCTCGTCTGCCCAGCTTTTAAATCCCCCCAGGGCTGGGGACTCGACCCCTTCCCTGGGCAGCCCCTTCCCATGCCTGACAGCCCCAAGGGGAAGGAATTTTTCCCAACATCCAACTTGAGGCCATTTCCCCTCGTCCCATCGCTTGTTAATTGGGAGGAGGGACCAACACCCTCCTGGCTCCCCCCTCCTCTCAGGCGGTGAGGTGTCCTCCAGGCTGAGCCCCCCCCAGTCATCACCGAGAAATCAAAGCGGGAGAAACGACAGACGTCGGCGCCATGCATGTTTCTTTATTTTGTTTTTCCTACAGTTAAATGAAGCTGGGTACGGGGCCTCTGCAGTCAACGGCGAGAGGATACAGGACTTGTCTACAGGACCAGTGTCGATTTATTTACAAGCAGTGAAGAGCAAATACAGCTCTAAAGAGCAGAATGAAAATCTTTCAAGTAACCATTTCCTCTTTATCCTGCCCATTCCTCGGCCGGAGGTGTGCAATTACCTCCCCCCAACCCTCAGCTGCAACCCCACCCTAGGGAGAAACTCAGAAAGAACCCTCCGAACCACCTTAATTTCTCCTGCCAAAGGACTGAGGTTGGTTCCCAGGCGTGACTGGGAGGTGACCCAGCCTCCACCTTCCCCAGCAACTCCTGGTTTGATGAATTCAGCTTGATAAAAGGGAAGAAGGCAGCTGCAGAGGGCCGGGGGGGGGGGGGGCCCCTGCCCCTGCCTCCCCGCAGAAGCGATGCTGCCGCAGGGTGGGAGGACGATGGCTCGATATTAATTTTTCCGGCTGGCGGAGCGGGGGCCGCCGGCTCTTTGGTGTCAAACCACTCCAGGTCTCATCTATAAACGCTGCGGTTCACGTGCTGCGGAGAGCGGGGGGTTCGTTCGTTCGTTCTTTTTTTCTTAAAAGAGGAAATGGCCGTGAAAGGGAGCAGGAAGTTCAGCCTCAGCCCCTTCCTATCTGGGGCTTGAAAGCAGGCGGCTTGGCTGGGCAGGTCATAGAAAAAATGGGGTCCAAGTAACTTTTATGTTTTCGTTCATCCTTTTTGGCTCTGCTCAGCAGAACGGCGCTGAACTGGAAGTCCTTTCCTCTTCTGGGAGGAAAGAAGAGCGGGGTTAAACGCTTTCAACCACCACCATTAAGGTTGCGATGGCGCAAGGCGCAGGAAGGGTGGGTTTGGAGACGCAACTTTGCATTGCACCACGCTTGGCCACGGAAAAAAATAATAATTCATCAGCTTAAATGCACCGACCCAGGCGGTGACGAAAAGCCCGGGGTGCTGTACCTACCATTCCCCTGCTGCTCAGCCCCTGCGGCTTTCCAGGGCCTCCCTGCCCGCCACCCGGGCACAGGATTTTTATTTTCCTTGATGCTAGAAGCGAGTTCTCTGCTTAGAAAGCGGCTTTGTTCCCGGCACAATGCGGAGCTGGCGGCCGAGGGCTGCACCCCCCGTCCTGCCGCAGCCTGCCCCTGCCCCCGGGGAAGCTGCCTGCTTTATTTATTTTATTTTTTTTTCTTTATCTCGCTGCTTTATTAATGTTCAGGGACAAGGGAAGCGCTGGAGGTTCCCTTGAAAAACAAAGCGTTGGAGCCGGCGGCTGGGACCCGCTCGGAAAGCGGAGGAAAAATTCCTGCCGGTGCTCATGCTAGCGAGCAACCGCGGGTGGAAGGATTGAGGTTATAAACCCTAATTAAACCCTTACGGTGACGAGCTGAAGGGCTGGGTGAAGCCCAGCACGGCCTGGGATTCCCGTGCCTTCTCCCCGCCTGGGCAGTGCTGGGGTTGTTCCCGTGAGCCGAGGCGGGGTGACAGCCTCCCAGCCAGGCTGCAAACCGGCGCGGCGGGAGGAGGCCCCGAGATGAAACGGTTTGATCTGGCTCAGGTGCATCATTTGGGCTCTGACCCGCTGGTTTCTCCGCATGCAAGGGTGTGAAGTGCTCTGGTGACAGGAGTTCGAAATAACTCCGGGGCTCAGCCCACCCCGCCCTGGGAGGCTGCTGAGGAAGGGGTGGGAACCCCACCGGAGCTCTGCACGGGGATGCCAACCTTCCCCTGTGGCTGGTGGGACCCCAGCCCCCCCCGCTCCTCCCGAGACCCGGCGCATCCTCCCCTCCCCTGCTCTGCCAGCGGAGATTTCCAGGCCGCCCCATGGCAGAGCCCAGGCTCACCCGGGTCCCATTGCCCTGCCGAGCGGGATGGAGCGGGCTCCGCATCCTCATCCCCCTCCCCTTCCCCAGCCCTTTATTTTTGTGGTTAAAGAACCGTTTCTCGCGACCGCAGCCCGCCGGGGCGTACCTGCCACCCCGGTGCTCAGAAGAGGCCGCAGTCCTTGAGGTTCTCTTTGATGATGACATCCGTGACGGCGTCAAAGACGAATTTGACGTTCTGCGTGTCTGTGGCACAGGTCATGTGGCTGTAGATCTCCTTCACGTCCTTTCGCATGTTGAGGTCAAGGAACTGGGTCTTGATGTAATTTCCGGCGTCTTCAAAGGTGTTGGGACCTGGGGAGGGAGGAGGCGATGCTGCTGCTGAGCTGCTCCCGTGGGAGATGAGGGTCAGAGCCGGGTGAGGACCAGGGGATGGTTTTAAAAGCTCAGTTTTAAAACCAAGGCTTGGTTTTAAGAGCTAGATCTGAAATCTCCCTCCAGAGGAGGAGGAGGAGGAGAAGGGTTGGGGGGCAACTGCACCTAGCAAAGCAATTTTAATAAAAGCCATTTTATCCCATTTCAACCCTTCCAAACGCCATCCAAAGGCCACCTCTGCCCTCTCCTCTGCTCCTACCTCCAGGGACTTGATCCCAAACCCAAGACACTGTGCCTGCATTGGGACCATGCGACTCCCCGCTGCAGAGCATGGTCCGGGGGGGTTCTCCAGGAGGGGGAACGAACCGACTCACCGTCGTAATCTGGGAAGCAGATGCTGAGATGGACTTTCTTGATCTTTTCCTCAAAAAGGTCCTTCTTGTTGAGGAAGAGGATGATGGACGTGGCGGCAAAGAACTTGTGGTTGCATATGCTGTTGAATAGGTGCAGGGATTCGTGCATGCGGTTCTGCAAGCAAACAGGCTCGTTGGCACCAAGCGCCGGTGCTTATTTTACAAACCCTTTTTGGCCACCGCAGCCCCCCAGACCCCCCCCATTCCCCAGACGAGAGCTTTTCCCCGTGCTGCTGGGGATGCTCCTCTTTGCCGCAGCACCAAACGCCTCCGCTGCCTGGCCCCTGCCTGCACCGGGAGTTCCTCTTGCCCATCCGAAAAGCCCCCGTGCCACGGTGCGAGCAACTTGGCTAGATCCGAGCGGTGCTTGGGAGCGGTGTTCAGCATCTCCGGGCAGCGCGACGCTCCATCCCCTCCTGGCAGATGTTCAGAAATGAAGGCTTACGGTGGGAAAATGAGCCGGGGCAACATCGCAGCCCTGCGGCGCGGCTGCTGGAAGGTGCTCGGTGCGGGTGCCGAGCGTCCGTCCCCGCTGCCTGGGCCGTGCTGCGGGATGCTCTTGCTGGAATGTCAACCACAGCTTTGGAAAGGAGCGGGGGAAAGGAAAAGCTCCGGGTTTAACGCAGGCGTTGCGGTTTCTGTTTTGCGGCAGGGGCATCCTCAGGAGGACGAGGCTCCGTCCGGCTGGAGCTAAGCCCGAGCGGGGCTCTTGCTGCCCTGCTGACGGGAGGTGGATCCCCTTCCCCTCTGTGTGGCAGTGGGTAGGTTCTTTGAGGGTGACGGGGATGTTCTCTCCGGATTCCTGTTGCAGCAGCTTTTCTGTATGGCTGCAGTGAGGGCACCTGCAGGGCCGGCTTTGGCCAAATCCTGCCCCATCCCTGTGTCACAGCCTCTCCGGGCTTCGATGGCAAAGCTGCCCTCTCCTTCCTTGTGCCTGCTTTACGGCTGGGGAAGGGCTGCCTGCTCCTGCCCGGCCTCGGCAAGCCCCGCGGGGGGCAGAATCCGGCCCTGTCCCGGCTCTGGGTGAAGGTGCTTGGACCCCAGAGCACCAGGGAGCATCCGCAGGACCGGCCGCTGCGGGAGATGCCAGCAAGGGCGCTTCGCTCCAGTCCCTGAGGCCGGGGGGAAGGCAGCCTGCTTCTCCCGCTCTGCTCATCCTCACCCCTTATTTCTTCTGAGAAACGGCCCGTTTTGGGGCTGTCGCGTTCCTCCTCTCCAGACCTCCGCCCTCCTAGCTGCTTTCCCCCGTGCCGGAGGGGCGGCTCTGCCGGAGCATCCCTCGCCGGGCACCGGGAGGGCTTTGCTGAACGACCTTGTGCCGTCCTTCCCCCCGCTGCCGCTCACCGGGGGGGTGAAAGCTGCCCCTCATTGCTGCTTTTCTGCCAGGCCAGAGCTGCCTCTGGGTGAGATTTTCCTTCATCGAGACCCGTTCCCGTCTCCCCCCTCTCCTCCTGCGCCGGGGCCGGCTCCTTTGGGTTTGCTCGGGTGCTTTTCCTGTGTCTGGGAGCGTTCCCGGGTGGGACGGTGGCTCTCGGGAGGAGGTGGGCGTTGGGGGCCGCTTTGCCCATGGCTGCTCGGATGGAGCGGGGGCTTCCTCGTGGGCAGCGGGGGGGGGGCAGACCCACGGCCCCATGACCTGCGCTTTGGTTTGGTTGGGCTGCGTGGGCCCCAGTGTAAGCGCTGACACGTTTACTGGGTGCAACTGGGTGGGAACCAGCTCCATCCCTTCCCTGCATCACCGAGACCATCAACCGGCATGGGGTGGTGGCCCCCCTCCCTCTGTAACCCCCCCCAAGAGCACCCAGCTCCTCTCCCCCAAGGCTTCCAAGCCCCGGTCCCCTCCTGGACCCCGACCCACCACTTCATCGTCCTCCACCAGCACCATGTCGTAGGCGCTCAGCGCCCCGCAGAAGATGATGCAGGTCACCCCCTCGAAGCAGTGGATCCACTTCTTGCGCTCCGATCTCTGCCCTCCCACATCGAACATCCTGAGGGGGGGGGGGGGAGACAAGGATGAGGGGGGGTGACACATCCAGTCCTGCCACCCCCACCATGATGCTCCCAGCACCCTGTGCTCGGCGGTGTCAGGGATGCAGTGACCGACCACCCCTGGTCCAGGCGGGGTTGGTGGTCCCTGGAGCATCAGGTTCACCCCAACCCCCCTCCCCATGGTGGGGGGTCATGGAGGGGCCACCCACCCACCTGAAATTCAGGTCCTTGACAGAGAACTTGGTCTCGATGATGCCCGTGGTCTTCACTCGGGACCGCAGCACATCCTGCTCGTTGGGCAGGTAGCCGGGGGCCGTGATCCTGTCCAGCTGGTTCAAGTAACTGGGGGGGGGACAGGAGGGGATGTGACCTGCTGCCCAGGGGCTGCCCACATCCCCGTGTCCCCCCCCAAAGGCTTTTTGGGAATGGTTGGGGGGCTAAGCTCTGCCAAACACTGGGATTCTGAGGCAGTGCTGTCCCTGGGGGGCTGCAGAGACATTGGGGGGGTCTGACGGGGGGCTGCAGCCCACTGGTCCCCATGGGACAGAGGCTGGCAGCCTCAGGATATTCCCAGGATCAGGGAGGGGATTGATTTTGCCAGGCTGGGTGGGAAATGGCGATGAGCAGCCGGGGAGGTCCCCAGGCACATCCCTGTCCCCTCCCTACCCCCCCAGTTGGTGACCCCACTCACTACGCGGCCGAGTCATTGAGCTGGTACTCGGCGGCTCGGTCGAAGCACGCCTGGACCCCCGCATCCTTCCACAGCTTCTTGATGCAGTCGACCAGCTCGGGGGGCATGGTGCCCTCCTCGATGGAGTCAGCCAGGTTGAAGAGCTGCCGGCCATCGTCCTGCAAGAGGGACCCTTCACCACCGTCCCACCCGTGGTCCCTGTCCCTCAAAAAGCCTCCAGGGCCAGGCAAGGGGCTGGGGGGGGGCAGCACGGGGCCACTACGGACCCCGGCTCTGGGGGTTCCCCTGCCCCACGGCCCCTCGGCCGGCGCGGGGGGTTTGCAGGGGACGGGGACGGGGACGACTGCCCCGACTGACCGCGCGGGACGGCTCGCTGTAGTCGATGCCCAGCGTGGACATGGCGCGGATGATGGCCAGGATGGACTGCAGGATGTTGCCGTAGATGATGGCCTTGAACTCCATGCACTCCTCAGGCGTGTAGCCATCCTGGTGGATGATCCTGTGGGAAGGGGGGGGGCCGGCGGCCTCAGCCCCAATCCTGGGGTGCCCCTACCTCCCCTCCCAGCATCACCCCACCCTGGGAATCAGCAGGGTGCCACCACCACCACCAGAATGACACTGGGGGGTTACGGGGGTCCTGCCACCCCTGTGCCCTAGCTGGGGGTGTCTCCAAGCCTTGGGCTCATGCTGGTGACCCCCCCAGCATGGGTCCCTCGTTCTGGGGCTGTACTCACTTCATCTGCTTGACGATGGTGCTCTTGCCCGACTCTCCAGCCCCTGGAAGAGGGTGGGAGGACACCTCAGTGCTGGCCAGGGCAGGACAGACCCCAGGCCTGATGCCACAGTGATGGGCACCACATGGGGACTGGAGATGCTTTCCCCCCTGGTCCGCTCTCCCCTGGCTGGACACCCAGCCTGGCTTCCTCCCCCCTCTGTCATGGTGCCCATGCCACGTCTTGTCACCCCTTGCTCCCGGAGCTGGACCACACCTCGGGGACCCCCAGGGGCTGTGGGGACCCACCAGGCTGCCGGGTCCCCAGGGTCCCATGCCTCCCGCCCACTGTGGGCACCGCCAGCGATGGCTTCGGTGCTGTAAGCGGCTTAGGGCAGCACAGGAAGCTGCTTAGAATTAGGGTGCTAATCGCCTTGACCCCAGCCCCCCCACCTGGATAAGCCCCCACCGCTGGTCCCTGCCCCACGGGGCCCTAGTGCCTCCCTGTGGGGTCACCCCGCTACCTGAGTGGGGTGCGGGGGGTCCCCCCAGGGACTGTCCCCTCCCTCCCTGCACCCAGCAGCAGGGTTTGGGGGTGCTGGTGGCAGGAGCCCCTCAGGGTCTCGCTGACCCTCCTGGGATGTGTCACAGCCTGGCCCAGATGGGACCCGGTGCCTTCGTCCCATCCCTGTCCCCTCGCTGTCACCGTCATCCCCGCCACCCGTCTACTCGCCACCAAGAGCCGATGCCACCGCTGGCTCTTCCCAGGCACAACCCTGGGGGACATCCCGCTGGTGGGCAACCTCAATGGCAACTCATCAGGCTAACGAGGGCTAATGGGCTGCAGGGAAGGGACCCTTGGGACAAAGAACGGCAGAGCAGGAGGAGCTGATGGTGTTGGGGATTGCTTGTCCCTGTCCCCATCCCTGTCCCCGTCCCCTCTCCCTGGTCGCCTTTGCCACCTGCCCAACCCCAGCAGCTGCAGCCCCCCAGCATCCGCAGGGTCCCCTGTGCCGGGTGGGGACAGGGGGACACTCCCGCACCCTCCTGGGGACATCCCCTCCGTCCTTACCAAGCAAGAGCAACTTCACCGTCTTGGCCTCCTTATCCGCATCCTCCTGGAGCTTCTTCTCCAGCTCCTTGGACCTCTTGGCCATCTCCTTGTCCTCCGCGCTGGCCCCGCTCCCCATGGCCTCGTCTTCCTCCTCGAGCACCTTGAGCTCCTCTAGGTCCCCGGGCTTTTCCAGCTCTCCGTGGGGAACGGCGCGCGCACCCCGGGGGCGGGCGGTGGGCAATGGGGGGAGAAAGAGAAGCCCCGAAAGGCCAAGCCGGGTACCCGCCGCCCCGATGTCGGGGTGCCCCGTAGCAGGCAGAGCTCAGTGGGTCCTCGCGGGCCGGCTGCCCCCCGCTCTCTCCCTTAATTTCCCATGGAAAACCTGATTTTTTTTGACCGTGGGATTTGGGGACTTTTTATCTTGCCATGTGACCTAGGAAATCCAATTAGCCCAAGATGGCAAAGATTAGGGCTCAGGAGAAAAAAAAAAAAAAAAAAAAAAGAAAACAGGGAGCATCTCGGGGAGGTGGGCACGGGGCTTACGTAAGGGGGCAGGCAGCGTGCCACCCCCTGCCCACAGGGGATGGGGACACCCTGTGTCCCCTGGGATGGCTCGGGGGGGGGGGGGGGGGTTGGGGCTCCCCTCCCCGTGTGTGTGGGCTGTGTCCCCCCCGCTATGGGCTGGATTGGCATTGGGGCTGGGGTCAGCCCCCCGCTCGTCTGTGGGGGGGTGG